CCTCCCCACCCCCCAGGACATCTTGCATTATGGAAGACAGGTGAAATATAATGATTTTACATAATGTATGTAATACATGTGGATGAAAAGTGGAAAAAGAAGTAATGCATGAATATACTAGGCAATATTGTTAAGTAGCCAGACACTGTCTTTGGCATCCCTCCACTTCTCCTTAGGTAGCATTTCCCCAGTTCCATGATCCCACCTACCCAGGTGAAAAAGTTCCCCACCCATGTTCATATTGAACCCTGACTGTCCAGCGTCTCCATTGTGTCTCCATCAGCCTTCCCATCTACTTCCCCCATTTACTTGCCTGTCTTATTTCCACAGGTCCTGCTCCATGTTGGTAATTTGATAAACTAACTTTTGGAAAATATTTTGCTCAAACCTAAAGCACAATAATTTGCACTTCAAAAAGTAGGTTTCATGGATATTATTATTAAAGACATAGTATTTAAGAGACTTGGCATGTTAAAAATTAATCCTTTCTTTTCTTCTTAGATCATGTATTAATAGTCCCATCCTCATCATGTAAGTCCAGAACTAGATCATAAGCTTAAGACAATGCAACGTTGAAGCCACGTTTGGTATGTGCATGGGCCAGTTGGTCTTGCTATTCATGTCAGACTAAATGAACATGTAAACCCCCAGTGTCGACCGGGCCAATGTATGGGGATGGCTTGGAGCAGATCCATGACTACTACTAGAAAAGTACTTATTGATGGCAGGACAGTGGATTCACCTTCAGGAATGAAGGTCCATAAACAAAAGGTAGTGTCATATGGTCAGAGTTACACATTTACGTCTATGACTGTATATATACAGAGAGATATTTCCGGCTATACATTTCAATGACTACAGAAAGATTTGAAAATGCATAATCAGTCATTCCAAGAAAACATGGAATCTCTCAAAAAACAAAATTTTAGGAGAGCATTGTGATTTGCATAGGCAGTAACACAAAAAAGAAAACTCTCACCACCAGAAAAATAGGCACAGAACTTTGAGAGTTGAAATCATCCAAATTAATTCTCTCAGATTTGCTGGATGTTTGCTGTGTTCCTAGCATTACATTTATGATTTTTTAAAAAATTTAACTGTTTAAGGTTTTTAAAAGTTTTAATTTTTTTTCACAAACACATGGAAATGAGGAGTGTAAAATTTGTTTTTATTAACCTCATACATACAGTGTGAAAGAAGACTTCACTCCCAAATGAACTCATTCTGGTTTTTCTTCTGATTTTTTTTCTTTACTTCTATTATGGGCAGAAACAGAGAAGGCTAAATTCCTTGTGACCAGAAGGGACTATCTACTTCGGGTCAGAAGAAAGTGGGATGCTGATGAGCTATTACCTTTTATAACCAACAATTTCCTCCACTCCCAGTGCCCTCCCACCCTTTCCCACTCTCGCCCACCCACTACCACTCGCCCAAGAGAGCAGCTCCCACAGAGTTATGACTTGCTAAGAGTTCGCCAAGACAACATGGATATGAAACTCTTCTTTGACAGGTGCCGCAAATCAGCTTTATTGAAAGTAGGGTTTCCAGTAGTGGTCTGTGGAAGTAGCTTCGGGCTTTTCTTTTACAATCAGCCACACCAAGGAATCACAATCATATTCCCATGCACGGCTTACTTGGTGATTCATCTTCTCACCTAGACTCTCCAACCTGTCCTGATGGTTCTTGTTTTATTGCCCAGCGTAAAGGGATATTTCTACCCATTCTGAATTTTCTGTTTCTTAAATTTAACACATAATACCTAAAATCTTAGTATCAAACAAAAACAGCTCAAGAATTTTCAAACTGTACTTGAAATATAATATATTAGATGTCAACTAAATTAATCTTCAAGGTTTTAAGAATGCTTAAATTTGTTTTGGTTTTGGCATGGTTTTCAAAGAAATAACAACAACAAAATCTTGTGAAATGGTAGGTTCTGTGTTCAACCAAACCAATGACTTGAACAAAAGAAACATTTCCAGAGATATCTAAATACAAACAGAATTGTTTAGATATCAAGATGATTGGGCACAATCTGTCTAATCTTTCCCTTCAGGTTTCCTAGCATGCAACTAAAGCCCAGAGGGAGAGAAAAAGTTCCTTCTGGCTCACTCTATAATTCTTGCTTGACCCATATTTTATGCTAGTTCAAGCAGAAATCTGCTGAGAAGCTTACAAAAAATATTTGAAAAGCTCTTTAGGGACAATTTTGTCACCCTTGATAGAAAAGCCTACAGATGTACACACAGCCTGCTTGATGCACCCTCCCTACTGGCTCACTGGTCTTGCACAGTGGGAAGGTTTTCTGTTGTTGGTTTAAATCACCAGTCTTTAGAAAAGAGGATCACCTAGGTAGAGAAAGTATAAATTGTATTCTGCCATCATTTCTAGTTACCCCTAATCATCTGTAAGAACATTTGTAAGAATCAACGATTAGAAGTAGCTAAGAGTGATAGGTAACAAATAAGTAAATGACAATTGTTTTTATTGAGTTCTGAACTCTCCTGATTTAAAAATCGCAACTACGGCAGTCATGAGACAAGGTGATATTTGCTGGTTTGGAAAATTTCTAACTGTGTGTTCTTCTGTCAGCCATGCCAGCCCTCTGACTCTCTGATTGTTCACCCTTAAAACAGGGATAAGAACATTAGAACAAATACTTCATCCACTTAGTGTGATAAAATGAGAAAATGGATGACAAAACACTTTGTACAACATGAAGAACTATTCAAATGCAGAATATTATTTTTGGAATGCAAATGAGATTATATGAACATCTTTGTGAGGTTTGAAATGGGAGACTTTTATCCAAACACTTACAAACTATATCTAATTCTTCTGCAGTAGTGAATGGGAACTTGCCGGCTCTTTATATGTTTATATCTTTGACTAGTTTCTTTCTCCACACTTTAAACAAATTATATTGCATTTTATATGAAATATTCCTATAATATGTTTGCTATTAGGTGTTTGGCAAAATGTATGAATCAATTATATTATTGGCATATTTATAGTAGCATGAAAATTATATTTTAGAAAACAAGGATTTATATTTATCATAATTAGAACAAAATCAAATAGGAAAGCATGCTATATTATCAGTTTTCCTTTTGATTGTGATTTCAATAAAGAGTGACTTCTACTTCAATCACAGCAATTTCAATGCATGAGAAAATCTCTTAAAACATTATTGAAAAAGTAAGGATTAAAACATTTTGATAAGAGTCTTAAGAATCACACCTAGGGAAAAATCATATAAAATATTATATAGTAATACTTAAGTTACGATAATTAAAAGTCAGGTGTGAAATAAGGGAAGTGTTTGATTACTGTGACATGTATAATTTATAGACTATTTCAAGTAAGAAATTGAATAATGTGAAAAAATCAACCAAACTTACTTGTTGGAAGAAAAGGTGAGAGGAAGAATTTTAAATACTATTGTACAATTCTAGCAAGTCTAGCAAGAAAAGGGAAATTGTGCTTTGGTTATAATCTATAAACTAGGCTGAGCAAACACATATTCAGAATTATCCTAATGTCTAAGTTAATTGTTCTCTTAATTACCAGCTAATTTAAGAAACATCACAATGGCTTGCCCTCTGTATTGCCACATACATCTTATATTGCCCTCAAATATCCTATTAATTGGCAGAAGAGCATATTAAATATTCTTAATTTTATGAAATAAAGAGAAATGCAGTAGGAAAGCATAAGGCTTGATTTTACTGTTTTGGAAAATATAGAATCATAAAATCAAGTATTTCAGGGCTGAAAAGAACTTAAGGGGGCAAGCTACTATTCTATTTTCTTTTTTTCAAATCTTTATTTTATGTTGTTTTTGAGCTAAATTTGAAGACAATTTATAATCATCCTAGCCAGATTCCTGCCACTGCTAACAGCATTCTTCTTGGGGAAAATTTCACAAATGTTGGGGTCAGTTTAGAGACAGATGTAAATTTGCTTTCCTTTCTGAACACAGTTGTGGTATCAAGGTTAGTTACTTCTTCAGAGCAAGAGCTCATAGAATTTACTTTTCTCTACCCAGGAACTTGAGAAGATTGCAAAGTAGATCAGATATATAGAGAGAAATAGTAGAAGTGTTGTCTAGTATAGCCCAATCTCATTATTTATTTACAATTTTATGTAAGCCTGATGCTTTTATTTGGTAATAATTTTCCATCTATTTTATAATGTTTCCAACATGGAACCTTCTTCTGCTCCCGAATGTCCTATCATTACAGCTCTCACTAGCAATGGAGCAATAACTTAGAATCTAGAATTGCAAGAACTCACATGAGAAAATAAAAACTGACACATTCATTTTAAGCTGCATCATATAACAATGGCTCAGAACCCAGTAGTTTATGAATGAAATAAAGATACTTTATTTATTACACAGGCACTTGGAGATTCACATGCCCAACACATCTGATACACTTAACATCTATGGAAACACGAGTGGAAAATGTCTGCTTGTAGGATTGAGAGAGAACTTTCACCATGTAAAGGTGAGTGAGTGCAATAACAATTTTTCCTTTACTTTCCTCTAAGAATTTCCAAAGTCCACTAAATTTTTAAAAAGTTACACTTGAAATAATATGCAACAAAAACTGATCTACATTCCAACTGGTATACTAACTTGAACTGTGAGCAATTTAAACTTTTATCACAATGTAACATATTTATAGTCATGCTTGAACAGATTAGGTTAGTAGCATGCATTCCATTCTGCAATATGAATATTGTTAATCTATTTCCCAACAAAAGTCAAAAGATGCCCAGAGCATAGAAAAATACAAATCACTGTAGTCAATATATTACGGGACTGATCTTGGGACTTACATGGTGATGATGAAGTCCTGAAATGCCATGCCCACAAAAGCACATTAAAAAGTGGATAAACATATTTTATCAGACAATCTCTAAAAATTAAAGATGAGAGCTTTAAATTTGGGGATGTTCTTGCTGTGTGCTTTGAACGGGGCCTTTCTGCTCACCTCCTTCTGGCTTGACTGGTCCATCAGACATCACCTTCCTGAGGGCTAGCTGGCTTTGGTCTTGGTTGCCATTGGCTGGTGGAGGCAGATTATCAGACTGAGTTCTTTGAATGGGGAGGACTCCTGCTATGCTGTGTCTGTGCTGCTTCCTGGCATGATTAGACTGACCGCTTTTATGTGCTGCTGTGGCGGTGTGGGTGAAATGGAAACCCAGAGTATGTATCCTCAGATGGAACCAGCTTAAATGTTATTCATGCAAACAGAAGTGTCATTTTGCTCTATTTAAATAAGTTGTGTTTGCAAATGCCAAAATGACACCACATGCACAGCACTAAAGGGGATTAAAACTGGCTGTTTCTTTGGAAATGATGACTAGGGAGATCAGGAGAGCAACAACCTATCTCCATTGCCTGGCTAATGCCTCTTAGAAGTAACAGGGGCACCTACATTTGTGAAATATTTGCAAGTATTACATTTTTCTATAATTACTCAATGGACTAAATTTTCATCAATTACATGAAAATATTTCAATTAAGATGGGTGATTGTTAGGCTTTAATTGATTTACAGCTACCAGACATAGCACATCTTGATTTTCAAAGAATTTCTGATAGAAAAAAAAAAAAACACTTGTAAAATCTGTTATCATATACAAAGTTATCCAACAGAATGGACCCAATTGTGCTCCTTAATGAAGTTACATTGCCTCCTCACATATGCTTATACATATATTAATATTATATATATATATTTTTTTAGGGCATAATAAATGTGATTTTCTTCACAGGTTTTTCAGAAGACTAAACTTTTGGGGGGCATGGAAAGCTACAACATTCACATGCATAATTTATTAGGGTTTTGAAGTATTATCTTGAAATAGTTTCCCCCCCCAGTGCTAGAACTTGGCTGTTGGTTGCATTACTCCTCTGCCTAGAGTTCTTGAGTGTTTATAGATACAAGAATCTCACTGCTGATCTGCTCTAAATACAAGTGTGTGTGCTTTTTTGGTATAATGCTTGGAAAATTGGCAGCCACTTGTGCTTTTAATTTCTATATTCTAACGGATATTTAAGCGCACATGAAAAGGACATACAACATTGCTTTGCCTGCAAACATCACAGACACAGCTACCAAATACTATGAGCCAGGTTGATGGATGGTGAAAACACAGGAGAAACAGCCAGTTTTATTTCAGTCTACGTAAACTAAAAAAAAAATCTAAATAAGAAAGAGCATATTTATGTATTGATACTATTCTTACACAGACAAAAGGACAGAGAATAGAGTGAGCAGGAGATGCCAAAAACAGAAAGCAAACAGAGAAGGACAGCAGGAAAGAAAGGCAACAGATGAACATTAAGCTGCCATGCTGAGGAATTTATTTGCGTCTTTTACTTGGTTGAATGCGGAGTTGTTGCACGGCAGCTTCGGCAGCGGCTATGGCAGCCCCTGCGTCTTCCAGGTGGGTCTGAGTAACGCTGGTTTTGCTTTGACTGCGAGATGGTCCGTGAGAGCGGAGATGGCCTTCAGACGATGATTTTGAGCTACCAGGACTACTATGGGATTTCTCAATGGTGGGAACCTGCATGTCTGGATATAAAAGGGTAAAACATGAGTTAAAGTTGGTCTGGCATTCTTCCTGTCAAGCTTGGTCTACACATAACTTGAAACTGTCAAAGATCTATGTTAATTCTGTGTCTTATTATGCTTATTTATGCAACTGCTCACCATACTGGAATGTGATTAAACATTTGGAAAACAATTTTGGGGAGGAAAAGCAAAAGGATAATAGTAATGAGAACAGATAACTTTGAAAAGAGAAATATATTCTTAATAGCCTCAAGTAATGAATATATTAACTTCTAGTTGCATTAAGCAATTCTGTAATTCTAGTAGAGGTCAGGTAGGAGACAGTAGGTTTAAACTACTGCAGGAGGAGTTTTTAGCAAAAATATAGTGAATTATTGTATGAAGGAGTATGAGTCACTAGCAAATATTATATGTGGAGATTGTAGATTCATTGTCTCAAACAATTGTAGAGGATATATAGATCACACATTTCCTAAGGTAATCATAAAGAGAAGGGTCTTTATTCTAATGTCCTTGAAGAATGCTAAGCAGGATCGAGTTGAGCTGGTTAAGTGAAATTCACAGATGGACTTATAAAACTCATTCATAAGTAATTTACAGCAATCATTGTAGTCAGAGGTTTACCATATTAACTAAATGGCCTACTGGACATGGACTCAGTTTCTCATCTCCTAGATTCATTCCCTTCTCATGTATAAATAACCACTTCCAACTTGATGTGTTTTCTGAGAAAAGGACACAAGGAAGCAATATTCAAGTCCAATATAAAATTATATTTAATACTTATACAAGGCTTAGTATGTCTAGATAAGATATCACACGGCAATTCCATACCGGCAGTAACTCAGTTTATGATGAGGATTAATGTGTGCTGTAGGACAGTTGGTAATGAATTTCCTGAAACAGGGGTCCCCAACCCCCAGGCCACGAACTGGGGAACTGTCTGTGACCTGTTAGGAACTGGGCTGCACAGCAGGAGTGGTGGGCCAGCCAGGGAGACTTCATCTGCATTTACAGCTAGCTGTTCCCTGGTAATACAGCTTACATTACCACTTGAGCTCCACTTTCTGTCAGATTAGTGGTGGCATTAGATTCTCAAACTCTATTGTGAACTGCTCATGTGAGGGACCTAAGTTGTGCATTTTCCTAATGAAAATCTTATGCCTGATGATCTGAGGTGCAGCTGAGGTAGTAATACTAGCGCTCAGAAGTGGCTGCAAATGCAGATTAACATTAATAGTGAGGTTTGACTGCACAGAGACCACTATTAATCAGTTGCTTGCAGACTCCTATCAAAACCCTTTCAGTGAGTGGCAAGTGAGTTGATGTATTTCAACTATATAGCTGCATCTGATGACAGGCTTTAAGTAAGAATCCAACACTTATTTTAGTTTGCCCATGGCCTGCCCATTATTTTATTTATCACTTCTGTCTGCACCTCTTTTTTTTTATAGTAAGTTGTAAGTTATTTCATTATAGATTACAATGGAATAATAATAATAGAAATAAAATGCACACTAAATGTTATGACTTGAATCATCCTGAAACCATCTCACCCTCCCCCCCTTCAGTCTATGGAAAATTTATCTTCCATGAAACCATTCCCTGATGCCAAAAAGGTTGGGGACCACTATCTTAAAGGAAAAGCTCATTCAAATGAGAATTTTGTATATACTTACATATTGCAAAACCTAATGTATGGCATGGTCATTTAAAAAGTAATAAAATAGTTTAAAAATTAGCTTAAGCCCAACATTGAGGAAAGATTTAAATAAATTTCAGCATACCAATTGTTTTGATGACATGAGAAAAGTGTCCTCTATATGATAAATAAAAAGCAGCATGCAAAATTATATCCATGGGGCTAAACTATATGAACTATTAGAGATTCAAAAAATTAGAAAAAATATACCTAAATGATAATGACAACTATATCTAGTGAATTAATTGGTAGGGATTTTTATATTTTCATTATGAGCTAGCTGGTATATTTTCTAAAATCATATTATGATGGGTTTTGAGAGGGAGAAGACAAAATAGTTCATATAGTCCAATTTCCTCCATTTTACAGGCTGAAAATGGACAAAGGAGTGAGGATTACAAAATTATATACCTAAGACTATATATCTGAGACTAAAGCCCATTTCTCCTGATTCTATACCATCACTTTTTACATGCACTATATTAAATATTTTCCAATATACTCTAACCTATCAATAGATGTTACATATACAGGTATTCACAGTCAAGATACTGAGTAAACAAATAGACAAAAAATTTAGTTGAAGTATTTCCTACCCTTGGATGGGTCAGGGAAGATACCATGGCTTCTGCTTTTGATAACAGATGGCTTTGGGGACTGCTGGCTGCTCTGACTGGAATGGGACTTGCCATGATCAATGCTTTCTGTTTGTTCTTTGAGAGGATACCACCTTGGAGTGTTATCCAGGTGAGATGTACTAGATAAATCAATCAATACCTGAAACAAAGAGTAATATATCAATAAAATTTATAAATTAAGCTGTAATTGGTTTGTTACTTTTTTCCTATGATCTAAAATTTATTCAAGTATATACACCAAAGGATTCAATATAACCTTTGAGAATGATGCTACTGTCTTCCTTATTTTACTTTGCCATGCTATTGGGAACAATGTCTTGTGAATATTAAATGCTTAATAAATGTTTGATTAAATTGAACTATATAAAATTTTTGACTGTTTACTAAGTTATTTGGATATGATGTTAAAAGGCAGTCACAACTCAATCTTTTCATAAAACAAAATTTTGTAGCTGTTATAAAAAATCATTTTAGTCCTAAACTTGGCTAACAACTTTGAAAAATGTTTGATTTTAGTCATAAAAAGGACAAAATAAAAAGAAAGGATAATTTGCAATTCCTAACTTATTTCTTTTATTTTAAAACATACTTTAGCCCGGGAGTGGTAGCGCAAGCCTATAATCCCAGCATTTTGGGAGGCCAAGGCAAGAGCATTGTCTGAGCCCGGGAGATTTGAGACCAACCTGGGAAACTTGGTGAGACCTCGTCTCCACAATAAGTCACAAAAACTAGCCGGGCATGGTGGCATGCATCTGTAGTCTCTAGTTCCAGCTACTTGGAAGGCTGAGGCAGAAGGATCACCTGAGCCCAGCAGGTCAAGGCTGATGTGGCAGTGAGCGTGCTGTTGCTCTCAAGCCTGAGTGACAGAGTGAGACTCCGACTCAAACAAACAAACAAAAAACATACTTTAGTTTCCATTTTGAGTTAAGGATATGATTAACAACCGATGACAGGAAAGCACTGTGTAATGGCTTAAGTGACAACATTTTTTTTTCTTAGTAGTAAGAAAATAATGATGCATTTTATAGTTGTTAACATCTTAGATTTGATGAGCTATAAAGAAATAATCAGCCCAGTGGATATATGCTTTAGGCTCATTTGGACATAAGAAGATAATAAATTAGAAGGACTTAGTAAGTTGGTTTTTTGAAATATAATACATAACATAATGTGAGATATAATACTCCTAGAGTAGTCCTGAAATCAAGATTAATCCAAGTGCTGGACCAGAATGGAGACTGAAAGTATGGGTCAATGATTCAGTTTTGGTATAAAGAGAGGAACAAAGTTTTAAGAAACAAACATAAGCTAATTATCATCTTGATTACAAAACTGTTTCAAATAGTCTCTATCAAAAGGATATTATATTTTGTAGGTTTTGAATTTATTGGAGAAAATTTATTTTTAACATTCCTTCATAACTTCTGCTCTAAGCAGAGCACTCAACAAAACATATATTTTTGGAACATCATAGATTTTTTAAATCACAAGATCTCATCACTCTACCAGTTTCATGATTAGGTTACTTTGATTCCTTGATCATTTATGTAAAAATTGTTTTCTCCTCCTTCTAGTATCGCTTCTTAAAATATTTTGAGAGATTTTTCTTAGGATACTTCATCATAAATGACAATCAAAATGTCACATTAAGTCATTCATAGATGCAGTAAGAAACAACAATTAAATAACCCAAAAATGCTTTTTAAAAAAATCTAGCTTGTTTTATAACATAATAAATCAGTTATCTCAAACATCATTGGGGGCAAACACATGGTTACATAACTTCCTATGGAAACAATATTTCATTCTATATTTATAATTATAAAATCTATCAAGTGGTAGAGTGAAAACCATTTTTTGAATTGCTATTAATCTATTCAATGAGCAAATCAGGAAATAACAAAAACTAATTAAAAAACCTATCTGCCAAATAATTTTATTCAGAAATGATTATCTTATAAACTTATAAAATATGCTTTACACCTTGCTTAAAATGTCAGCAAATAACTAAAAGGAAATCAGAGGCTCACCTCTCCAAGGAAGTCATTGGATGAAAATCTATCATAATCCCAAACTGTTACTTCCAGTGTTTTCTTCTTAAGCTACAGTTCAAAAAAGAATCTCATTAACCTTATCTTTCCATCAACAATTTTATTATAAACATACAAGAGACACATTTATTTTCATTTCTTAAACCATTTCCATTTAAAAATACTTGAAATTTTAGCTAACACAATATGGATTTTGTATGAAATATTATCTAAAATTTCAGTGATTTGCAGTCCAATTTAATGTTTGATCATAATAAATGATCATATTATTTTGTGAACAAAGTGATAACTCTTATTTTTTCCTATTTGTCTACATTACTCATTCTTAAAAACAGAAAGCAGAATTTATAAATGGTCTTTAAATATAAAAAATTCATAGATTGCAAAAATTTCCAAGATTATTAAATGAAGTGGTTGAATTATAGGTTTTATTCCAGTGGTTTCCAAAAAACATAGTAGCATTGTCTTATTTCTGCAGAAGAGTTTATTTATAATTGAGATTATAATTTATACTCAGCTTCAACTCCATAAACGAATCTACTAGAGGACAAATTAAAAACTTCATATTAAAAGACAACTCGTTTGTAAATTGTTTTATATGGATGCCTTCTTCCTGCTGTATTTGTATTCTCTCTGAATTCAACCTTGTCAATTATCAGTTATTTTCTGTCATTTATGCAAAGTTGTGAAATGCAGATTTTCAGAAGTATACTGCTGCAATTTTGTGAGTTGCTTATTTGTGGTGATGTTTCTTTACACTAATCATCACTGCCTTTTTCAGTACAGTTTAGCCTTCCAGTGTCAGATTAGGAGGCATGAATTTAGAGATGAGTTCCTAAAATGTTGCCTGGTAGAGTAATACATTTTTATGTACTGAATCTTGCTTTTCTTTGTATTGTTTACAAAAGTCAAAATATAGCCAGTTGGAAAACATGTTCCCCTCAAAATAAGATAAATATGGCAGCCCACTGGAATTTTGAAATAATCAATGGAAAAGATTTCACTAGTTTTTTTATTTTGTTTTATTTTATTTTAGGCTGCTTTTAAAAAATGCATACATTTGCATTCACCCTATGTTTAAACTCCACCCATTTCTTCGCATTGGCTATATTTCTTGCATGAATTTTGCTCAACTCTTGACTTTTATGGTAAAATTTATATGGACCCAGAATTTGAGTACTTTTAAAAATCTCTATCCTTATATTAGTCTAAATCTGTCACCTAGAAATAATTTTTACATACCTGTTCCATGGAAATACTTTTATAAATTACTGTTTGATTCCATTCAGGATTAAGACTTTTCTGAACATATTTAGTTCTTCTCTTGTACTCAGCACTGAATTAAAAGAAAAGAAAGAGTTATCTTGATTATTCACCTTAACTGATTCACAGTAAAGCTGAAGGACAAGCAGACTTTTCAAAGTGATGCTTTGTTTCAAATAACTATATAATCATCTCATCATCCTCATGTCTTAAACCTTATTTTAAGTTGAGTGCACAGTGACAATTTAAAAATATGCTAGATGCCTTAGTTTCATTTTCCTTAATTATTACTTTTTAAAAGAAATACCTGTAGATGTTCTAACTATACTATAATTTTAGAAATCTTACTCTTTCCTGAATGTAGGAAATAATTATATGAACTATATGGTAACATAAATGTCTTCTTGTACCATAAATAATAATTTGGTATTTAACTTTTCCATAGTTGCATCTAATTATGTCAGCAAGCTAAATGATCTTTTAAGTCATTTTTTTCTATAAAAATTGTAATGATTTTATTGACTGAGAAACAGTTGAAGAATGGCTGTTGCTACAGCTGAAATTCCATAAACAATTGTTATTGAATACTTAAAATATATTCATTAAAAAATATATTTGACACTCTTGGTGAAGTATGATATTTAATATAGTTATAAAGCAATTCTAAATAAATATAAATGCTTAATTTATGTCAATAGCTTATGTTACAATTGATAAACCAAATAAAAATCTTGGTTAATTTATCATAATTTGGGGCATTTGTGTTAATCCCTCTGACATTTCCGTTTCCTCTGAGCAACAATTAGAAACTTATATCTACACATTTAAAAACAACTTATTTTTAAAGTCTATTTTAATTAACCCTGGTAGAACATTTATAGCTGGCACCAAACAGCTGATGGGGTTGGAATTAGATTACTGTTTTTGCTATTAGCAAATAGCACCCACACAGACAAGGTCTCTTACTCTCTGCCTTTTTCTGAATTTTCTGTCTAGGCTTATGTCTCAGGTCCTAGATAATATTTCATTTCTGGTGGGCACTAGAGTCCTGAAAAACAACCTCTTTGTATGGGGTCCTGACTCATATCTGGACTTCACAAGTTGCTTTTTCCTAAAAGGACTGGATACTTAACACTTGTAATCTGTAGTTCTATTCTAAACTGTATAGCCAGATTAACTCTTGCTACATTCCTGGTCTCAAGTACTGCTGTATGCTGGAATGACTAGTATTTTCCTACAGCCACTAATTTACCTAAACATTCTAGACACAGCTATTGAGAATCAAACTCCACACACTTTTTGAAACAGCCCTACAGCCAAGTATTTTCCTTGCCTCTCTGATTTCATTTTCTTACTAGTCAGATGCAAGGGCAGTAATTCTCAACATTAACTGCATTCTGGGATTACCTGAGTTCTAGAGGTGGGAGGTGGCAGTCAGAACACCACTCATATCCCTCCCATCCCTGCTTGCACCCCCAAGAAAGGTCTGATTTAATTATAGTCTGAGGTGAGACTTGGCCATTAGAATTTTTTTTCTTTATTTTAAAGATGTGGGGTACAATTCAAGGTTAGGCATACAAATGTTCATTAGGCAGGTACCCTTGTTGATGAGGTGTGCCCCTCCCTCCCTTGGCACACCTCAGTGGGCTTTAAGATACCTATAAATAACTTTTATTAAAAAAAAAATCGAGGGCTTTAGGATACCTAAAAATATCTTTTATTAAAAAAAATCTGAAGCAAATATAGTATAATGTTAATATTTGATGAAACTGGATAGCAAGCACACAGGCAATTGTTAGGATATTCTCTATAACTTACAGTGTTTAAAATATTTTTTAATAAAAAATACAAAAATTTTTGGTAAGATACGTTCCTTTAACTGTTATGTTTTTGAGTTTCTTGGATAATAACATAGAAAACAATCAACGGACCACTCTTAAGTCAATATTAAGTTGCTCTATTAGAATCATGGCTACTCCAACAGGCTGGTATACTTAGAAAACAAACACCAGTAGCATGAGTTTTAAAGTTTCCATTTGCTTTGGACTTAGTTATCAAGGTGGTGAGCTCATGGGAAGTCCTATGGGATTATCATGGAATAATATTTATAATATGGTAAACTAGTAGTAAAATTATATATATATATAATTTTATATATATATTAAAAGTATATAATTATATATATACTTTTTTTTTTTTTTGAGTTGGAGTCTCACTCTGTCACCCAGACTGGTGTGCAGTGTCCGCTCCTGGCCACCGCAGCCTCGACCTGCTGGGCTCCGGCGATCCTTCCGCCTCAGCCTTCCAAGTAGCCGGAATTACAGCTGTGCGCTACCACGCCCGGCTGATTTTTTGATTTATTATAGAGATGAGGTCTCACTACCCAGGTGGGTCTCGAACCTGCGGGCTCAGGCAATCCACTCACCTAAACTCCCAAAGGCGCGGGATTACAGGCTGAGCCACCGAGCCCGGCTATATTTTTTAAATTCTAAAAAATTGAATGCATATAATTTATTTAACAAGATGGGAAAAATGAAAGCCCATATATTTTCACTAAAATTTTAAGTATACCAATATATATTAAAATAATCTGCAGTATTGAAATACCTTCAAAAGGATTTATCAGTTACTGTCTTTTCGAGATTCATATATATAATAATTATTACAATTTTTTATATCCACATTTAGTCATTTGTTTCACTTATATACCTAGCAAAAATTATTGAAGGCTACCTCATGCCAGGAAGTGTACATCTTGACACCTACAAAACCCATAATTGTATTGACATATGATTCCATATTTGATTCTTGCCTAAAAGGCACTTTATAAAGTAAGAAGAATAATAAGTAACATTTCTTAAATTCCTACTTTTTCTCTGGCAAATTTCTAAGTGCTCTTCATGTGTTAACTCATTTAGTTCTCAAAACTACCCAATGAAACGAGTATTATTTCTTACTTCATTTTATAGGTGAGAAAAACTGAAGGTCAGAGGAATTAAGGCATGTTGACAAGGTTACAAAATTATTAACTGGTAGGACCTGGGTTCAAACACAGGGAATCCTATTTATTGCTCTTAAACATATGCTACATAAACTCAACTGATTAGGCCCATCATAAAATGTGACATCTATCCATTTTCTTAATTGTAGGCTTCACTAGCCAAAGTGTCTAATTTGTATTCTTTATAATCTAAAGTTCTCCACTTTGGTTTAGATATATATTTGTATACAGATAATATAAATTTGAACATATATTTTTATACAGATAATATAAATTATATATAATGTGTGTGTGTACACACACCCATGTCATAAAAAATTTGGGTCGTCTTTAAAGTGGCCTAGGGAAATTCTGCATGGTATATCCTAAGTGAGCACTGTGGAACAATTAGGGATAATTGTTATAAATATTGATTTCTGACCGGATATATTCAGAGTAATCTAAACTGATTAGGCAAACTTAAAAGTTCATTTTAATAGAGTATCTTAATCATAGTAATGAGTTTGACTCTCCAATTCTTTCGAGACCCAAGGTATAGCTGCCTTTATGATTAACAAAAGTAAAAGTAAACACAGCTTGTCGAAGGTTCCCTCTGTCCATCTAACTGACTTGTGTAAACACCAGTGAAATCCCTTATAGCATTTTGTGCACTTGCATTTCTTGACATGCAGAGCTGGCCACACAAAGCTATTCCTTCACTAACATCTGTCTTATGACTACCAGATTCTGACCATCTTGTATCTGGTTTCAATGGACTGTGTTGCCACATTACACAATGCAAAATTCTCCAAAATTCTCATAACCATATCAAAATCTGCAGATTTACAAGGTGAAGGTGGGCAGGTAAGTAAGGGATTCTTGAATATGAGCATACATTCAGGCTGAAACAAAAGTAGACTTCATCCTCCTTTTCCTTTCTTGTGTGGTAAACATACCATATTGCCTCCTAGGAAGATTACATTGATTGTATATTAGGACAATTAGGTCAAATAGAATATCAAAAGTTTATTAATTAGGGGAAAGAAAAAGTCAATTAATTAAGATAGAATATGGTGCCTACCAAAAAAAAAAAAATCCAAACTTTTACCCCTTTTATTTTTTGGTAGATTTCCTTTTTCTTTCATTTGCTGTTATAGGCCAATTTGTAGGTATTGTAGATATTGTAGTTATACAGATAAAAATAAACAGAAGAAAATATTTGAAATTCTCTTATTCTACTCTAAACCCACACAAAAAGTTTTCCGTGTTTCTCTTTTTAATTTTGAAAAAAAACCTAACGCTTCTTTGGAGTAATTACCTTCATACAATTATGTGAAGCATTGAAGATATTCATTTTTGAAATTTTATTTGGTTTTTCCTTTACTGGACTCACTATATGTGTGTGTGTGTGTGTGTGTGTGTATCTTTTCTTTTTTTTTTCAAAATTACTCCTGTAAGGTTGCTTCCCTTAATTTAGAAAGAAATGCAGTGCACATCCTATTTTGTAACCTCTGTTTTTCTGTACAGTGGTGTATTTATTGCCTGTCACTTCATTTTCCTCTTTGTTCCCTGATGGCAGAGACTACAGTTAGATTGTCAACTCTAACCTTTGCAACTAGGACAGTGTCTGGCATATACTCTATGCTAAATAAATGTTTGTTCAATGGATCCTTAAACATAGTTGTACTTCACTGGTTTCCTTTGAAATCTGTTGAAATAAAATAAGTTTTGGACATTATATTGCAGATATATACAACAACTCTACCTGCCAGAGGAAATAGGTTGCTATGCTGTTTAGAGAAAGTCCAGCCAGGAATTAGGTATTGGGGTACAATTATGCTAAAACTAGTTACAATCATAACACAATATCATTAGTGAGAAAAAAAATCTGCACTTTGTCCAACAGTGTGATGAATAGGCTCATTTCCATTTCTTAATTATCCAGGGGCAAGTATTGAGTTCATGGACTAATCAGGCTTTTTTTTTTTTTTTTGTCTTTTTCTCACCTCATCTTGTCTGACACTTGGCACTTCAAAGCTTATGAGTATATTGATCAAAGGGTGGGAAGAGGAAAGGAAAACAGCCAAAAAACCTGGGTCAGCATAATTTTTTTTGTATCAGTTTACAAGACGTAACAATTTTTTAAAAAAATAAATGATGTATTACATTTTATTATTAAAGAAAATTTGTTTAGTTTTCCACATCATGCTATTAAATAATTTGATATAATTCAGTGGCCCAAGCATTTTTGTATTACTTTTTTGCAGAGATAACTGACAATTGGCTGCATTAAATTTACACATTCCTATCAATAATAGTAACAACTACCATTGACTGAGAACTTATTATGTGTCAGACATTATACGAGGGGGGATGGAAAAAACCCAGAATTCGTTTATAAAAAATTGTGTATTTATTCTTACATATTTAAACTTTAGTCACTTTAAAGAACTCTTTGTTTGATACAACACACCTATCGAGATGCTTTTTCCACTGCTCAAAACAGTTTTTGAAGCCTTTTAATGCTTCATCAATTTTGAAGCCTTTTAATACTTCTGCTGTTTGTTTCACCTTTTCCAACTCAGCAAAACATTTCCTTTTGAGGATCTTTTTCATCCAGGAAAACAAACAAACAAACAAACAAACAAAAAAGCTACTTGGGGTGAAACCAGGTGAATAGGGAGGGTAGGGTATGGGGGTCATGCTGTTTTTGATAAAAAAAACTGCTGAACACTTAGTACAGTGTAGGTACATAATATGTTGTCATGGTAGAAGAACCAGTCACAACTTGGGACATTTCTTCTGCAAATTATGATGCAAGCTTCTCAAAACCTCCTGATAAAAACTTTGGTTGACCTTTTGATACGGAGGAACAAATTCTAAGTGTTTGACAAGGGGTCCACTCTCCAAAAGATAATTTTTTTTTTGGATTCCCCCATGTACTTATCACTTTTGATATATTACTTTGATCATTTCACAAAATGCCTGGGAAAGAGACTATTATTTTTCTTTAGCAGAAGAGGAAATACATTCAGAGAAATCTTATATTCTAAGTGACAGGGCTGAAATTCAAACCAAAGTACTTAAAGACTTCACTCATTGGCTTCCATAGTCTAACTTACAATTTTAGTATCTTGTCAATAAAATTCCCTCTCATACTGATAATTCTCAAAGATACGATGAAAGTGACTTCTGGATGAAAAAGTGACTTTTAGATCTTTTAAATAGTAACTGAAGACATCCCAGACTCCTTCAACCATTATTTACTCTTAAAAAACATGTTCTTTCCTAAGCTAAACATAATCACTCTCATTATGATAATTTCCATCCAGTTTCTCTAGATAAAAGAGGGAGATTCTGAATAATGTGATTGATAATGTCTGTTCTAAAAATAACATTATCTCTTTGAAACAAAGCTTATTTTGTGTATCAATCCAAGAGACCGGGATTGCGTCCTGTGATCACAGACCCAGCCATAACAAGGAATCCAACGCAGTGTTAAATTTCACTGTTTACCATAATTATGGCTACAAAGAGAGAAAAATTTTATGGGGCACGAAAAAGGCTATAGTGACTAAACTTATTGTTTAAAATATTTAAATATGTATGCCTTTAAAAATCAGAAACAGTTTCTTTTTAGCAACGACTTGTCAGGATGAATAAAGATGTCAAATTTTAATATCACAGACAAAAATAAATGCTGTATCATTAATAATCTGACTGGGATTAAAACTCTCATCACCGTATTGCTACAGATGGTACATAATTAGCCTTCCCAACTAAATGAAACATTTAATTTGTAATGCAATAAGAGATACGTGAAATGATGCTTGGCTATGTATTAAGAGATAGTCTTATTTAACAATATAATGTTGCAACTTCTTATGAACTGTATCAGAAAATACTTTGCTACTATTGGAAATAAAGGAAGATGCTCTTATGTTGTTGTCAATGCACCTTAGTAAGCAGACTATGGCATTCTACATTGCATAGCAGTGGCTTTGTGGCACAGATGTTCTAAAAGCATGAAAATATTTCAGTATCAGAATTAGGTGAGGGGGAAAACATCAGATACCTATTATCTTTCCCCCCACACTCACCCAATAAAAAAATCAAAAATTAGCTGGGCGTGGTAGGACACCTATTATCTTTAAGATGAGATACGCATCTAGCATTGAACATCCAGAAAATCTGTTAATTCTTTTATTTTTAAAATTTTTAAAAAATTTTTATTTATTTATTTTATTTAAAAATTTTTTATTTTAAAGATGTGGGGTACAATTCAGGATTAGGCATACAAATGTTCATTATGCAGGTACCCTTGTGGATGAGTTGTGCACCCCTTTCCCCTGGAAAAGTCCCACTACTGCCAATCCCACCTCTCCCCTGACCCCTGGCAGTTTCCTGCTGCCAATCCTTTTCTTATAGTATTATGAAAATTGTTCAAGGTCTTCTTATGAGTGAAAACATGTGATACTCAGTTCTTTGGTTCTGTGACAGATCAACTCTAGTCAGAATGGCCATCATCAATAACTCAAAAAACAACAGATGCTGGAGAGGATGTGGGGAAAAGGGAACACTTCTACACTTTTGGTGGGAGTCTAAACTAATATAGCCTCAGTTTGGTGATTCCTAAAAGATCTAAAAATCGATCTTCCATATGACCCTACAATCCCCCTTCCAGGAATATACCCAGAGGAATTCAAATCACTCTATGAAAAAGATACCTGCACATGTATGTTTATTGCAGCATTGTTCACAATAGTAAAAACATGGAACCAACCACTCTGCCCATCGAAAGAGGACAGGGAAAAAAAAAATGTGGTACATATACACAATATTATGCAATCATAAAGAAGGATAAAATTATGAATTTCACAGCAACTTGGATGTACTTAGAGCCTGTTAATTCTTATTGAAAAGTGACAATGGATGTTTTTATTTGTAATAGAAGAACCCAAATTACTTAAACTATAATTATCATGTAAGAAGACAAATGAGTTTTAGTGCATAGATTATAGATAAACACTTTAGTTATGTCTATTTTTAGGGTTACATTTCTTTATTCATGTTTTCTGTTTTTAATATTTTCTACTTTTTCTGTGTTCTATTACACACATCTGCTAATGCTGTTTAGAAATGTGTTCAAAACAATTTGCTCTAAGCATGATTCAATTGATGACAAACTAGAAAATAAAAGTTAGAGCCCAAGTTGAAGTGTAGGTGAATATACATAAAAATGCAAAAAGTATAACTCGAGACATAAAGACATAGCTTGGCACTGAAATAGAACCAACTCTACCTTGCATTCTGGACAACCATGACTTGACTGCATTGATTCCAAGAACGACAGTGAAGAATACAATAGGAAAGGAGGAAAAACAGGAAGAAAAAAGTTAGGAACAGAAATAAGAAAACGTGAGAATAATAATTAGAGGGGCTACACCATAACATATAAATGACATGAGGCAGAAAATAATCTTAGAACTACAGTGAAAATAATATCTCACAAATGTAGAAAATTCCAAGGCCTTTGCCACTCTAATAGTTAGGAGTAATGTGATGAAAGAGGTAGGAATAGAATAAGAGTAGTATATTAGCTGCCTTTGAGACAAACCTCACCTAGTAGGGATGTTTTGTTTGAGAAATCAATTGAGGATAGCTTTAGGTGGGGCATTTACTCTCCATTTCACTACAGTTTTTGCTGTGCCCTGTTATTCATTCCAGAATAAACTGTCATATTCATGTTACTTGCCTGCCCTTTCTGTTTATTCAAGTCTGTAACATTCTAATTGAAATATATCCAGAAATAAATAAAAGGTAGGTACCCCCATATTGTGTAAAAGATGAAACTCCAGGATATTATTAGAAGAGATAGCACACAAATGGCAGGGCTCTATTTTCATTCATTCATTAGTAAATGTCAATTAGAGACAAACCCTTGGGCAGTGATTTCCCCTTGCCTATAATGTTATCATTAAATAATACTGGAGGTCTAATGACCCAAATCAAAGGCACAATGAAATTTTTGTTGTTATACTCACTTTAACAGGTATTGCCCAATTATAATTACAACTACTACATCTAGATACAAATTAATGAACATAAAGTAAAAATGACCCTTTTCCTGGGCTCCATGGCTAATTGATAATCTCTATGTAAAATTATTGAGGTATTTCAAAATGTTCAATAAATTAAAACTAGAGCACCATCCCAACAATTCCAAATTTCTAAATAAAGTTATTAGGAAAGATTACAGTAAAGGCTGTAAACTGAATTTGATATAGTATTTGGTAATTTTCAAATTATTTTCTGAGTGTAATCTAATTTGATTCTACTGATAAACCAAAAATTATGATTCTGGCTTCATTGGCTTTAAAATATTGACAAGGACACTGAATTTCAAAGAAATTGGTGATCTGTCCATGGTAATATAATCATTAAGCAACAGATTCAAATGCAGTGTATAACTCTAATTTGGATCCAGCTTAAAAAAACCAACTAAAATCAAACATACTTTGTATAATTTCATTGCTTTTCCATTTGCCAAGGGTTGTGTTAAGGCCCAGAAAATAGTCTATTTTGGTAAATGCTCTGTGTATAATTGAAAATAACCTGTGATTTGCTATTGATGGGTAGCATATTCTATAAATATCAGTTAGGTCACCAAACCAACAAGGCAAATAGTATGAGGCAACTGGGGAAATTGAGGAATATTTTAAAGTTTTAAAATTATTATGGCTGTATACATTATTAAAATTATTATTTCTTATTTTTAAAAGCTTTATTTCTTAGAAATACATACTAAAATATTTACAGAAAAATATAATAGCTGTGATTTACTTCAAAATAATCTGGATGAAGAGAGTGTATAAAGGTAAAAATGAAATGTGATCGGTCAGTAAGTGGTAACTGTTGAGGCTGAGTGATAGATATACGGTGGGTCATTATGCTGTTCTTTCCACTTGTGTATCACAGTTGAAAATTTTCAAGTAAAAAGAAATATTAAAATGTCACTTCCCAAATTAAAAGGACAATGGAAAAAAACAAACAAACAGATTCTTCAAATTACCAACCCAGAATTCTTTTTATTATATCTCCATTTGTTGATTACCTATGTCTCTATCATGATAATTTGGCTACTATAAATTTTTCATGGGAAGTGTAATGATTTTCAGGGCCCAGGTCACAGTTTTTACATTATTCTTGAGTAATGATTTATAGAATAGAACACTGCATTTTGCATTTATTATGTGAAAATAAACATTCCCCCCAAAGAGAACATGCTTTAATCAGCAATTTATATATCACAAGAGATTTAAAAATATATTTTCATTCATCTACCTCCTATTTATTGTATTTTATTATTTTAAGTCTTTGATTTGGAAGTAAGGATACAACAGGAAGTTATTTAATAAACATCTAACATTGGAATACATGTCCTATAAAAATAAACAGTAACATATGAGTCCTTGGACATTGGCTTCCCAAACAAATTTGAGAATGTAAGCTAACTCCTTAAACCTGCCACAAACAATTCCTTAAGTGATTTCATAGTCTAGCTGATTGGTTATCCATCACAGGAGCAGTTTCCACTAGAATGCTGATTTACTCTCATGAAGGCTCATTTTATTATGAGCACTGCTCTTCTAGAATCCTTTAAGACTTCATTACAAATGTTTAATTCCACCTTATCTACTAATTGAAAATAAATATGATGTGTAGAGAAAACTAAGAAAAAGATAATACACTCAATTAAAGTGAGGCTTTGAAATCAGAATGTGAAAGACATTATACTATTTTTTAAATTGTGGAATAAAATACCTAGAAGACTTCTTTACTTACCCTCGTCCAGGAAGAAGGTACACTTTAACAAAAGGGTCTGAATAACCATTGTTGTCTCGAGGGACAAGATTTCTTGCTTGGAGAATATGTATTATGAGATTTCCAAGATCATAGTTGATTTGAAGCTTTAGGAGACAGCAAAATATCCCATAAATTAAAAAAATTATACATTTTCATTCAATATTTTAATAGTGTTAAAAAATTTTTATGAGACGCATCCACTCTCATTTTCATTTTACTGGAAACTGAACAGACCAGTTAATGACTAATTTAATTGGGAGCTTCCAGGCACATTTTAATTCCTAGTAAACATGCTATTCATTCTTTCCACAGCAAAAAGGGCTGGCCCGTCTAAAATTTATTTAGAAGAAAAATCATACAGTGAATGTTAGTTGCATTTTTAAACTAAATTTCTGCTTTCATTAAAATAGCAACTGTTATTAATGCTACTATTACAATTACTAGAATTTTGAAAATAAGTTAGTCAATTGATAAATTTATTGTAAATATTATTTGTACCTTGCCAAATAATTAGTGGCAGATGGAATCATCATTTGAAGATAAAGCTGTCAGTGTTGAAATGTAAGATTATTTAAGAATTTGTAGACTTTGACCTCTTCCTACAATATATTATCTGATGTTAAATCCATAGTTTTTCTATCTGTGCCTGCTTTTCTAATAGAGCAAGAGATTAGATTAATAAAATAATATTAAAAAAAATTTTTAGTAGCTGAAAAAGAAAGAGAAGGCATTGCTTTAAAGATGCTTATTGGCTATTGCACAGTTATAACTGAATAGTAAAAGACATAATTCAAATACATATTTGAGAAGACTGCATATCAAAATAACTGTATTAATAGTTGAGTTAAATTTTTTTCTTTTACAATGGAAAGATTATTTTGGTATCATTTAGAATATACCTTAATTTTTTTTGCTGGTTTTTTAAATCAAATAATAGAAAGGAAGCGATCTATAATTCAAAGGCGGAAATTCATAGAGAAACATATGAACTTTTTCTAAAACTTAAAATAAATAGTGTGCATTTATTGTGAAAAGAAATTTTTAAATTTCTTTGGTTAAGTATAGCAACTTGGGAAAGAAAAAATAAGTTCTTGATAGTAATTAGGGAAGAAAAGGTAGAAGGTTTATCCATGGATTAAAGGAGGGAGTACTATGTGCCAGGAACACATTTTTTCTTATTTACCCCTCACGGTAATCCTCTGAGGTGCTTTTGTAAAGATACTAAGTAACTTGCCTAAGATCATGAGCTATCTTTAGTATGTCTGTTGGTGCATCTGTATACATATGTTCAGCTTTAGTAGATACTATCAAAGAGTTTTTCAGAGAAGTTGTGCTGGTTTACATAATTTGCTTGCTCTGTATCCTCATCAATATTTGGAATTATCACACCTGTTGATTTGGGTCTTCAGACATGATATCTCGTTGTCGTTTTGACTTGCATTTTCTTGATGACTAGTAACGTTGAGCATGTTTTCTTACGCTTATTGACCTTGTATATTTTCTTCAAATCTTTTGCCCATTTAATTTCTAGTTATCTTTTCTTAAAAAATGATTTCTTTATATATTTAAGAAACATATGAACTTTAAAAATCATCCATACAAAAGAGATATGCTGTGTTTACACTGAAAATAGGATAACTTAGATGAATCACACTTTCATTTAAAACTTCATAATTTAAAAAATCCTCATTTAAACATAATTTTAATTGGGTTATGTTTCCTGGCAGAAAATGAATCTTCAATTGCCTGTTTCATCCAGAAAATCCTAGTGTCTCTGACCATCACAAAAGCAATGTGAAAAATAAAGCAAAGTACTGCTAAAGAAGAGGAGAAATGGGAACTATATACCATGCAATAACTGTGTGCCATAACCGGGTACTAAAATATAGACTGACAATAATAATAATATAATAACAATAATAACTGAAATCACTGCCTTAAGAAAATACCTCAAGAGTTAAGAAGGAATCTTGTTAGGATAAGTTTCAATTAGAGAATTAAATCTTACTGCTTAAGGGAAAGCAACATAAAATAAGAAAAAATAACAATAACAACAAACAAAAAAGAAACACAGAATACTAGTCCAAGGATAGAAATTTTTTGTTTTTTTGTTTTTTAAAGTGGGAAAGAAAGAGAAAGATATTAAGAATCAGAAATTCTAGCATTTTCTTTGCTGCTTGTGAAATGAAGAAAAATCAGGTCTGGTGACAAACAGGCTTTCTAGTCATGAGAAACAGTAAAGAGATATCAAGATCTGGAGTACACAGGTAATCAGTCTCAGTCCTGCTAATTTCCTCCTAGTAAGGTGCACACATTCTGGACTTTTTCTCTGTTTTCACACTCATACTTCACTTTTGCTTTTATCAGTGTGTACCTAGATAATCACTGAATTGATATTTGTCTTCACGTCTTCCCCTTTATAATAGTTATTGTAAGCCATGGCCGTATAAATTTTTATTATACATTCTCTTCAAATAGACTCTCTCTTACTCCAAAATATTTGGAGATCATGCTATATTAGGTAATGGCTAACATCCCTAGGCTTGGACTAGGGTACTTTTTAATTTTGTCTTCGCCTATCTCTGCAAGCTGACTTTTTCATTCCAATACTCTCTGACAGCAATAACTTTCGTTGTACCATTTCTTCCAGGAATGCATTTCCCCTTGCTCTATGCTTATCCTAAAATTAGTTCAGATCCCTGCTATTCTTTGTGAAGTCTTTTGTGAAAATTCTTCTCAAATGTGTTGGATATGTGATTAAGATTGTCTTTCATTTATCTGAAACTTCCTATCTTTATATAGTAATTATTTTTATTATCTTAGTTCTTTCTATGTGACATTTCTTATCTACTCTAAACTACTTTTTTGCATCACCTGAAGCACAGTTTTTCTAAGATTTTTTACTATGACCCAAACTAAGACATAAATTTTGTTATAATGCAATACACAAATACAGATACACACAGATAATTTTAAAGATAGTGATCTGTATTATTTTATTCAACTTTCCTGACCAAAATTTCTTAAATGGATTTTATAAATTGTGAAGTAGTTATGACCTATCATATTAAAAACACTTCTCTATAATAATTACTCATCAATTATTTAGCAATTATTGATTAAAGGAGAAAAAAACCACTGTATTCATAAAACTCAAAGAGAAACCTTGAAATTTCTAGGAGAATCTGTCATGTTTGAAATAACTTCAACAAATATAAAGTAACTGACGTACAAAATGTGCTTAGGTATTAGGCAGATTTCAAGGTATAGAGATCCATAGCTATGATTAGACTTCATAAAAAATATATTTATATTAATATACTATGCTACAAAATTGTATTTTTCCTTTACAAATAAGTTCTGCATATGTTATAGAATGAAAAAGATTCTAATAGTGTGTTTATACCTTCAAAAGACCAATGGGAAAAAGGACAAAAAAGATGATATAATGATGATGTTTAATAAACATTCATACCTGAATTTCCCCTGTAATTGGATGAGAGACCATCTTTGTTGCATCGGTAGGCTGCAATATTAAAGAACATATATTACATTAGCAGGTAAACTCTTCATAGAATTTATCATTTCAACTTCCTTCTGAAATTAATTTCTGTTTGGTCAGAGTAACTGCCTGGAAGATATATTTCAGCTTTTTTACTGCTTTAAAATAATGGTGTCTACTTACAGTTCTCAATATATGTTTAATTGTATAGATGCATGAATCTATTTTTTTATTTTGGTAAACCTGCTTTGAAGCTATATTTTTCATTACTTCTGAAAACAAACACTTTAAACTTAAAGTATTTAAGTATTTACAGGTTTTGAAGATCTATATAGCAATGTAAAAGATAATATTTTAATACAAGAACTGCCGTGAAGCACAGAAAGTACGAAGGTCCTTTCTCATAATTCTTTGTTGGCCACTCAGCACCTCCCTGTTCCCTTTCACAGTGAAGCCTCAAAGCAATCACCTTCTACTAGTTCACATTCCTTAATTGAAATTTTGTCCCTTACCATACTAAGTTATCGTTTCCTTAATAAATTCTTATGTCAGTAAAGCCTTAAAAATAGTTAAGAAAGCGATCTGGCAAACTAATTCATATTGCTGAGTAAATGACATATTGTTACCATGTTAAATTTCAATGAAATATTTGTATAAAATGAGAGATGATGCTCCTAGCCCCAAATCTATAATAAAACTACAGGCAATGTGGCATCAATAAAGAAAATATATTTTCTGAAATGGCAGCCACCTTGTTACCCTACAGATAAAGCCCTGCCTCCTTACATTGTATGTAATACTGGCCTTATTTTAATAATTAAGTGAAGAAAGGAAAGATCCATATTATTTCTGTTGATATACTTCCCTTTTCTCTCATATTTTTATTCTAAGCATAAGAAAAGTCAAAGAAGATAGATTTATTCAAAGTCTTGCTCTGTAAAAAAAACTAAGTAATAAAATCAATGTAATCATTGGTAAAGTTATGGAGGGAGGTGCTATATTTCCTAAAGCCACATATCCTTAATTAGTTCAGCTCTTTTTTTTTTTTTTTTGAAAGCAGGATTTATAGAGAGGACAGAAAAGCTGCCACAGTGGGAGGGGACCCGAGGAGGTTGCCCCATTTTTAAAAATGGTCTCTTTATTAATATTGAAAATGTGCTCTGGCCTCAAAGGATAAACTGTTTGCTAGTTATTGAACAATTATATTTAATGATTATCTCACTGTTTAAACTTCAAGAAAAGCAAATTAAATCTAGAGAAAAAAGAACCATGCCATAAAAATTACTGGAGCTATTTATATATGTATACTTTATACATACCCACGTATATAGCTATACAACTATATGTATATAACTTCTTTTCTAGCTTTTTATTAAGGTATAATTTATTGACTAAAAACTGAATATAATTTATAAGTACAATTTGGTGAGTTTGGACTGATGCATGCATTTATGCTACTATCACCATAATCAAGGTAATAAATATATGTATTTAGTTTGTTTTTCTTTTTTTAAGTGACTGATAACATTGTATGTATTTATTGTGTACAACATGATGTCTTGAAGGATATACACATTGTGGAATACTTTCTATTTCTATCTTGATTCAAAATTGGGAGTTTCTTCATACCAGAAATTTCTGCAACTAAATGCATGAAAGTTGGGGAATAACTGAGATAAGAAGTCAAAAATGGGACCAAAAAAAAAAAAAAAACCACCCCAAAAAGACAAAAAAAAAAAAGAGAGAGAGAGAAAGAAAAAAGATAAGAAAAGCAGAGTGATTATTGATAAGTTATTTTGTTTTGATTTCTTTTTTGAGAGTTGTAGTCATTTGACATATATGATCATCATGCAAACATTCCCAGATGTAATGCAGAGAATATTCTTATGGATCATTTTTAGTTGTCCTGGGATGCTGTATGAACACAGTGGGATACATTATGGAGGTTAAAGATTAACAACTGTTGAATACCACCACAAAAACTATTAGCTCAAGGTAGTTAACATTTTATGATTAGAGCTAGCTACTTTCCTTTCAATTATGCCTTATCCTTTGGTTGCTGGTTTTGTTGATTACTATGATAAAAAATGTACTGTAAGAAAACCAGTAAGAATAGTGGTATGGAACAGGTAATATGGGTGTTAATATTCAATTTGATTCCATGGTTTGAGATGTTGGGCAGTGCACAGAAGTCATACATATCTCATAGAAATGTAACTGTAGTTATTAACAATAAAATCATTTAATGTATATTTATTTCATTTTATGTGTATTATTTTTCCAATGTCTACTAAGATATTAGGATATACATACTTAGTAAACTGTTTGGACCTAATTGTTTATTAAACAGGATGGTCTTAGGCAGTTCTTTGGGCCTAAGGGTACCATGAAAAAATTACTGAGACATTAAGGATGCCATGACCAGAAAAGTGTAGGAAAGCGAGGGACCTATATCTATTCTTTCTTTGTTCTTCTTATTTATTTATTTATTTATTTATTTATAGAGTTAGGGTCTTGCTCTGTCACCCAGGTTGGAGTACAGTGGCATAATCATGGTTCATTGCAGATTTGACGTCCTGGGTTTAGGTGATTCTCCTATTTGAGCCTCCTGAGTAGCTGGAACTATAGGTACACACTACCATACCCAGCTAATTTTTTGATTTTTTGTTAAAATGAGGTCTCCTATGTTGCCTAGGCTGGTCTCAAACTCCTGGGTACAAGCAATCCTCCCACCTCAACCTCCCAAAATGCTGGTATTATGGGATTGCAGGCGTGAATCACTGTGCCTGACTTCAAGGACCTATTTCATAAGAACATGCAAAACTACTAAGTACTTTAATTAAGTTATTTATACCATGCCTTGGAAAATATTAGCAATACTTTAAAAGTAGAATGAAGAAAGATTGGTCAAAATTTTAGAGTGAAATCTGTTTCAGGTAAAAAAAAAAAAATTGAAGACAAAAACTCATATTGAATTCATTTAAGCTAATCAATTATCAAAATAGTCTTATTTTGTAGATATAAATTCTATTATATAGTCAAGGCAATTAAATTTCTGTTAATCCAATATCCTACAATTATATTCAGCAAAATTCACATAATTAGAAACTTAAAATAAAAATATTGTATTTTGAGATTTCTAGAGCATCTAATAATTAAGAATATATAAATAAACCTTAATGCATATTCTATGCAACTTAAGTATTTATTTAAATAATATAGATTCATGTTTTACCTACATTTACTCAGAAGTAATTTAATTTAGGATATTATTAATGAATTAATATTACTAATTAATAATCATTTTACATACTTAATAGATGTGTTTTAAACATCTACATGTAAAATTATAGTAATTTAAATTTAAATACTATAGTTTGTTTTTTTTTAGTTGGAGTCTCACTCTGTCACCCAGACTGGAGTGCAGTGGCCGCTCCCGGCCACTGCAGCCTCGACCTGCTGGGCTCCAGCGATCCTTCCACCTCAGCCTTCCAAGTAGCCAGAATTACAGGCGCGTGCTACCATACCCGGCTAATTTTTTTATTTATTGTAAAGATGAGATCTCGCCAAATTGCCCAGGCAGGTGTCAAACCCCGGGGCTCAGGCAATCCACTCACCTTGGCCTCCCAAAGCGCAGGATTACAGGCTGAGCCACTGAGCCCAGCCAATACTTTAGTGTAGTCTATTATATTAATAAGCTTTATAATTTAATATCTGATCTCATACCTAAAAAATACAAAAATACTAAAACTATAATTCTTTAAATGCCCTGAGAAATGTATGATATATTTAGGTATATGTTACCTGAGTCAGGCTTATTGTAAACTCTAGACAATCACTCCATGTTTTTATAAACTCCCAGTAAAACTTGACACATTGTAGGATTTACAGAACACATTTTTTGTTTTTTCATTGTTCAATTTTCTTTTTTTTATTTTTCATTATAAAGATGCGGAGTACAATTCAGGGCTACATATACAAACATTGATTATGCAGATACCCTTGTTGATGAGGTATGCCCCTCCCTCCTCTAGCAGTTTTCCTCAACTGCCAATTCCATCCCCCCTCCCCTGACAGTTTCCCATTACTGCCAATCGCTTTCTTATAGTATTATAATTGTTCAAGGTCCACTTATGAGTGAGAACATACGGTACTCTATTCTTTGTTTCTGTGTTAGATCACTGAGTATGATTGACTCCAAATCCATCCAAGTTCAACAAGTATCTTAACATTACACAAATTAAGTCATGCAGCACACTATTACATCTTGAAATCTGTCTTGGGTTTGAACTGGAGAGCACATTTTTTAAAGTATTGCCTTTATGTATGCCACTGGTCAAAACTATCATTAAATTTATTCATTTATTCATTCAGTAAAAATATTTTTAAAAACTCTGCATTTGCTAAATGTTTAAGATAAACCTTAAAAGAAGTTAATAGCCCTCTCTTTAAGAGTATTAGCATCCACTGATTATAAGTTTTCAACTTGAAATGTATAGATACATTCGTTATACATATCTTAAAAATAATCAGATTTGATTAGTGCTGTTACCAATAGAGTTAAATAATCTCTACACAAGCATTATCCAATAGAAGATATTGTGAGCTACATGAGTAATTTTTAATATTCTAGTAGTCACATAAAAATGCAAAAATAAGCTAGTAAAGTTAATTTTAATATTATATTTTATTTAATCCAATTCATCCAAAATATCATTTACCATAAAATCAATATAAAATTGTAATGAGATATGTTACACACATTTTTCATAACAGGTCTTTAAAATTTGCATGTAATTCACATAAAAAGTATATCTCAATAAGGACTAGCCACCTTTCAAGTGCTCAATTGCCACATGTGGGTAGCAGTTACTGTACTGGACAGTGCAACTCTGTATCTTTATATTTTGCCAAAAATGCTATAAAAGTACATAGGCTCCCATTCCTGACGTAAGAAAAATTTATGCCATATCACAAAACCTGTCAATGTCATTTCCTTAATGTTTATCCCACTACACCTGTTT